CCTGCCCAGGTGACGGCAAGAATAAAGAGACCCATGCCAAAGAGAAATAAAAATTGTCCCCAAAAGTCGAGTGTTAAGAGTCTTGTTGTCAATGTTTGAGGTCCTTCCATTTCGGTATTATCGTCTGTTCGTCTAATTGGCTGAGGCCCAAGCATTATTGGTCGAAGAAGGAAGTGTACACCAACCATACCCACTAGCGCAATGGGAATATTGATGATAAAGCACCATCGCCACGAAACTTGTGTCAATTCTCCTCCAACGATAGGTCCAAATCCATAAGCCAGGCCACCAACAACAGCGAATAAACTATTATTCTTTGAATTTTCCTTGAGGGAGACTTTATCGGCAAGGATAACTTTGGTCAAAATTAAAAGTCCAGAACAGCCGAGTCCCTGTAATGCCCTACCGAAGAGTAGCATGGGGAAAGCAGTCACTGGTGCACCAGCACAAAGGGCACTTCCAATCAAGGTAAGAATTAAGGCTGCCTGAAGAGTCGCGTATCTGCCGAGTATGTCGGCAAGTTGACCCCAGGCTGGTATAAATGTCGTTGCGGTTAAATTGAAGGCGGAGATAATCCAATTAAGTTGTGAAAGTTGGTCTGAATAGCGATTAGTTAAAGATGGTGAAAGAGATGGATCATTTGGGGCTCACTGAAATCTGAAGCAATGAAGGGTAAAGCCCCGGCAATAATGGTGATATCTAGGGCTTGTACCATATATGGTAGCATAAGCCCGGCAGTTAACCTCCATCTATATCGTCTGGATGCCTTCTCTTCTTGTATACAAAGACTACATGGTTCGTCGTAAGATATACCGGCTTGTGGCTTACTTGTACCACCCTCTCTGCCTTCACTGTTCCTTGCTTGAGATTCGAGAAGAATTGCTGACTCTTGCTCTGTAGTGAAATCTAGGGAACCGTCTCTGTGTTTGCACAATTTGAACGGGCTTGAAGACTTTGAACTTTCGATCGAGGGTCCTGATGGAGCCGAAAGAGTTTCTCTTGTTGCTTTCCATTTTTTGTACAGATAAGTCGCCATCTCTACGCAGAAAGGTACAAATATGCAAACTAGAGAGCCGAAAACGTTCGAACAAAAGTATTACAGGAGCTGAATATAACGTATGAGAGCACTGTAAGATAATTGAGGTTGATTTGGTATATAACAGAATGGTAAAACCGAAACATGAAGATTTATGGGAAATATAAACGACCATTAATGTCAACTTCATGGTGGCCAAACTAGGAAATTATGAGGCTTTGATACTACGACCGTACAGTTGACCTCACCCAGCTGAGCCACTTTTGAATATCCACAGGGCTGCGTTTGAACATTTAACTTCACACAATGAAGCATAGATGCCGACGGAACTTCATAGTAGCCCAATTAGGAAATTTGATGTCCCCATGTTACTGCCATGCCAAAAGAGCCCACTTACCTAAATTACTTCACCTAGCTGAAGGAGTGAATTGAAGTGTGCAGCCTAATATAAGGCATAAACCTTATAAATTGGTATACACTACTCTTGGCAATGCCCTCCTTGTGCTAGTGGGAGGAGATTAGAAAGATCAAGGACATCTATTCATTCGTCCCTGAACATTGTTGTTTTCGTTTGGTCGCCAAATTGTCGGTGCATGCTGATGTGCCTTGTCAGACTATTTTAGTGGTCCCACAAATACAGGCTTAACTAGTTGAAGAACTCCGACAGCCGGCTCATAGATCCGTTCTCATTGGTCAACTTCCTCATACCCTTTAATAGGAAATATAAACGAAAAAAGCTCGACCAATTGCATTGAATGAGCTTTCACGTGATATGCTTACCCTTTACACCGTAGACGTCAAACAAGACTGATCTGTCCCAACAATATGCTTTGAAGATCTCAAATCCATGTTGGAGTTTCGCTGCTTCTCTTGGCTACTTTATTAAGATTGTATCATTCAAGATACATACTTCTTCCACCCCTTTCGAGGCCACCATTGCGAAGAGTGAAGCGATCCCCGTTGGATTTCCTCACATTTGCGTTATCGTGTCGGACATCATCTAAACTATTTGCCAAAACAACCGCTTGCGGCACTTGTCCCCAATATTGTGATTCTGTTTCAGTATCTCATCCCCTAAAAGGGCCGGGAACTTAACAAGGGTCGGCGGAGTATCAAGCACCTGATTCTGTTGTCCAAGCCAACACTGCAGGTCAACTATGGTTTTTTGTGGTCGACCCTCTAAGGGTTGCCATGCATGCCGAGCTAAAAAGACAAAAGTAGGTTTGTTCACAAATTACTTGATCTGGCGCACTTTCCGCATGCGAAGATTCACCATGTGTCCATGTCAGTTGCTGACCAACAAATGAAAGTGTGATGCAGTACCCACTGGGTGCACTCAATGTTCGAATGCGGGTCGAAAATGCCCCGGGTATAGATCCCAAGTTGATCTGATTTTCCGGGAGGAAACTAAAAACGTCATCAAAAAAGCAAAGATTAAACACGAGAAGGTCAAGCAAAAGAGCGCGGAATCTGTGTCTCCAAAGTCCGCTACTTCTTGTTCAACCACCCCTTCGCCACATTTAAGTCGAGGAAACTCACCACGCGACGTCGTTAAGGCTCCGCAATTCAACCAGATTATCTCTGTCAATTATCTCAACATTACGCCATCAATTGAAGATAAAGCTACCGCGTTCTTCCTGTCAAACTATGTGATAGGCGATAATGGCCCAACTCGAGGACACCTTGATCATCTTTCCGATTTGTACGAATCTGATAGCATAGATGACAATCTTGTTGCCGCAGTTCAAGCAGTGGGTCTGGCCGGCTATGCACACTCGGCGAAAGCTCCCCATCTTATCAATCAAGCACGCGCACAATATGCCAAATCACTTCAGCTTACTAATACTGCCCTTCAATCTCCAACTGCCGTCAAGAGAGACAGTACCTTATTAGCGATATTGATCCTCGGTATCTTCGAAACTATCACTGGTAGCAACCAAAAATCAATGAAAGCATGGGCAGAACACATTCATGGTGCCGCGGCAGTTGTCAAGCTTCGGGGCCCGGAAGCCATCAAGACAAGTGGAGGCATACGCTTGTTAGCACAAGTGACTTCGAGCCTGCTGATATCATGTATTCAGAGGGATATCTCACTACCGAAATACATCGTTGAAATTACAGAATTTGCAGAAAAGGAGATGACAAATGTTGATCCGGCCTGGATCGCTCAAAGAATAATGATCGACTACACATCTTTCAATGCTAGATATCACGCAGGTTATTATAGTGATGCTCAAGAACTTCTTGATGATGCTGAGGCCTTGGACGAAAGATTTCTCGCCTTTTTTACAAACATACCAAAAGGGTGGGAATTTGCAATAATTCAGACGGACAAAGATCCGGATGTTGTGTTTGATGGCTACTATCACGTATATTACGATCACTGGGTAGCTCAAATCTGGAATGCAATAAGAGAACTCAGAATTTTACTTAATGAAACGATCAGAGAGGTCTTATTGAAAGACTTTACTTCTCCTGTACCATCGTTACTTGGGTCCGAATACGCAGAGCGATTCCAAATCTGCACCGAAATAATCTACCATCTACAGGCAGAAATTCTCGCAAGTGTACCGCAACATATGGGCTACGTTTCGAGAAACAGTGGGCATACACAACTCTGGAGTGGCTTCGAGAAAGATGGTTCTGGAACAGATTTTCCCACCATCAGATTCTCGGGTGGATATTTTTTGATTTGGCCATTATTCCTAGTAGGCAATTTGCGCCTTTCGACTCCAGACGTTCGAGCGTTTTGTGTCAAGAACCTGCGATATATTGGAACACATATGGGGATTGAACATGCGAACCTTCTGGCTACTATAATAGAAAAGAAGATTCCTGTAACTGTGTGGAATGAGCAGAGACCACAACTCTCTGATAGAATCACGGATGAGGATTCTGCCAATCATAATGAGAACCAAAATCAGGGAATGGAGTACAACCACAAAATCCCTGTTTAGGTTGTCAGGTTTGCTTCGACTCAAAGCTGGAGGCTGACTACTCAACCCACTCATAGCCGGCGAATCATGGCTTGATGTGAGAAATCTAGAAATTTCGAAGTTGAAGTTGAAGTATAAAGAGGTCAAATGGTAAAGAGTGAAGCGTGCTCTAGTACAAAAACAAACATAAGGTGAGTTTGTCATGATTTGGAGTCTAGCACTCTGCCTTGGATACGTACGCGTCCTTTGTTATGACCTGATATATATCGTTTCCCCATCTTCGATATCTCCCCGGCAACCACTGAAGACGTCGATTCTGATGATTCTTCAAGGGATCTTCCACCGATAGTACCCAAAGGAAATCCAATAGACGAAGTCAAACCGTCGGAATGCATTTTTTGAGATTTGGTGGAGCCTTACATTTTCCTGAGAGATAGACAGGAAGTGAACACGGCGCAAGAAAATGCAACCTTTTACTATCAGTCCCATTTCCTAAAATTTGGTGCTATCTTTAAACAGGCTCGGAATCCTCTTACTTGTGCTGAGCTCTTTGATTAACCCACACCACTACTTATAGCCAGACCCATTATGTGGTACACAAGAGATGACTAGCATATGAGTCTCTGAATACCTTCTCATGACCTAGTGCCAGATGAGCCTTGACATAAGTTTTCAGTGCAGCCATAAAGTGAGATCCGTCTTTTGTGATTTTGTTTCCTCGTGCAAGCATACGAACCTTTATCGTTTTAATAATGAAGTTGAACTAAACGGTGGGGTGTGGGGTATCAGATGTGCAACATTTCACATTGTGTACTTTATCGGAAGAGGGCGGACCATATGGTGGGGTTTCGATCTCAAGAATGTTCAAGCCGTATATTATCTATGGGTGAGTGAGGCTTGTGGAAGAAGAACCCGTGATCATAAGAGGATATATTCAATTGGTGAGAATGCTAAAATGGCAAGAAACGTAGAAAGGAGCTAGGCCTCGTCCTCCTGGAGTCTACCTATTGGGAATCGGCTGATCTAGAATGAACAAGGGATATCGTCATGGCCGAACTAAATGGTGGGGTAGGAGCACGCAGATGTGCAACAAATTCGAGAAGAATGAGGTATGCACTAATTGACGGGGTTAAACGTTTCAGATATATATGACACGTCAACGGCCATGTAGATCACTTGCTTGAAGCCAAGCGTCAAGGAAGAGCGTAGCTACAGTTTTGTAATGACTTGGGGAGGGGGTCATTTATATGATCCGACTCGGGTCTGACCCTTATCCGAAGAACTTTTCACATGATAATCTCTTAATGGAACCATGGAATTACGGAGTTCGTTTATCATACCGAAAGCCTGCTGCAGCTGTTCCTTGTTGCAGTAGTAAAGCAAGGAAAAAGATGGGAGCATGCTTGAAGATCCCAGTAGATGGAGTTCTTGCATTTTGGGATCGGTATCTTAAGAAGGACGCGTGAGCGCCGCCTCGGTTGATTGCCAACGTATAGGGATCAAGTATCTTGGCCATTGTCTGTACACATTTTGAGAGAAGATTTCATTCGTGTATTACTAGTATGATGATTACTTCCCATCTCTCAATTTCAGTGCTTGAAACAGTGTTAAGAAATCAGCTATGCTTTAGACGAGATGAGATAAGTGTAAATGTCTAATGTAGCAGCCTTTTACCCAGCAAAGTTAAACAAAAGAAAGTAAAAACATCTGTGAGTGGTCTGTTGTGGTAGTCGTGTGAATTGTTGAATAATTTCAAACCGCAATCGATGGATCAAGGTTCTTCCAAGTTACTTACCAGTTCATCAATTCACTATGACACTTACGAATATCATTTCCAGCCAAACCATTAAAGGTATTCCTGATAACTCATTTTCACCGACATAGTCAAGTATTCAGTTTAATGAGTTCTGCGCGATCAAAGGCGCCATGCTTTTTATAGTGTTGGCCGTGGAAACCTAGGTGTGGATAAACTACCAGGCTTCCTCTACAGAAGTGGAAGATTACATTCCGTGTAATGAAAACTATCATATTACGAGTATCATGCCTTCCACTGCATCAGTTTTCGTCATTTGAAAGTCCTTAACGGTAAGAACCTCGTTAAAATTCCGAGGCCGTTAGCGTAATCTCAGTTCGCCGCCATTAAATTGATGAAATAAGCGAGATACTTCACTCCCGCTCCACATCCGACGACGACGACGAGCGATTCCAAAAAATCGTTCATAAACAGATCACATTTTCCATCTGGTACCAGAAAAAATGACAAAATGACTCCCACAGATCTGATAAGCAAAACCTTGCCGCCCCCTCGAGGGGGCGGGAGGAGAAACCCCTCGATGGGGTTTTTTTCCGTTCGTTCGTCGTTTCGAGCCAGGCGTGTTACCACTCCACCACCAGAGCGCATTTGACCTGCACAAACAAGCCTGTTTGCTGCCTTTGCGCTCCGGTACTGGGAATTGAGTGATTGCTCCTTATATAGTAGAGAGAGTGAGTGTGTCTGGGGAGTGTTAAGTAAGTAAGTGTATGAGAAGGTATGCTGGAATTACAAAGAGAGTTTTCTATCACGAGGTGATGGCTTTCATAATAAGACTCGCAGTATTCATATTTCACGTTTATCGAGTATTGTTCGCAAAGAGTATTTCTGAAAAGTTTTATTCGTATCTATCATTCTCAAGAATGGTTTGAATCTTTAACACACACTCAAAGCTTTGTCTCTCAACCTTTACATGGCGCAAGAAAACCCGTTTCGTATGAAATGGAATTGTCATTTTGATGCTCACACAAAAAAATGAAGATTTAAATCTCAGCCAATCAAATGATATAACACATTTTCTTAAACAGATTTTCATCAATGACTATTTCTCCGTTCAGGGACCTATGAGTGCAATCTGACAATTGGCATCATATCATCTGAATGTTCAAACTATCACCGCTCTCACCTCACCATCAATTTCTGCATAATTTGAAGCATAGCTTCTATAACTTCGATCTTACTTCTGGAGATACATGAGTTGTGAGTTTCTTTCTTGATCAATCTTTTACTCTTCCTCGCACTTTCCGTACTCAATATTCCGCAATTTATTATCATGGTTACGGCAGAGCATGACTGGTAGAATCAATACCTTAAATTCTCAGCTCCTACATACCTCCATGAAAAACTTTGGTGTTAGATTCAGCGCGTTTGGATCATACACAATTCATAAGCTCAAAAGCTTTCTCTTCATAAAAATCTCAAGTGAAGCAAGTGAACCAGCAGAAATATTTCTCAGATGGAGCACGGCGTGTTAGTGGAGGTACTCTGTCAGACAATCATTGTTGACAAATACGTGAGACATTGGGTGACCTGGTCAATGGCTGGCTTCAGGCTATTTTTTCTTAGATGTGTCATGTATTTTATCTTCGGGCTCACGCTCGAGACTCCATCCTTTTACTAGAGATCGACCTAACTTTCAATACCATACACGCATAGAAAAGAAGAGTGGGGTATGTCAATTCAGATCTGACAACCCGAATATGTGTATTGCTATTCGATATAAGGTATGTCCTAGCAGTAAGCTTTGATATTAGTGAGGTCCGAAGACGTAGTTGAACTTTCTCGGTTCTACTCAGTCTTGGTCACACTTTAGTCTAAAGGGTGGGGTTGAATATAAGATTTGCAACAAAAGATACCTAGTTACAACATGTCATGTGGTATGTCTCAGAGTTTGATACTTTCAGATTCGATACTGATAGACTTCCGTCGTTGCGTTCAATAAGGATGGAATGCTCGGCTCTATTCGTTTAGTGGGTTGTACAGAAGATGTCACGCACTCAACTAAAATACATTAGAAGGATTCTTACACTCACGATTAGCACGATCTTTGTTATCCTAAAACATGGAAGTTGACGAGATATCCAGGAACCCTAGCCTTTTGACGCTAAATGTGACTGAACCCATTTTTCAATAATTTCGGCAAATAAACGAATATTTCAACTTGTTTTGCGATCTATTCCACCTAGAATCACAAAAAGAAATGTTGCACGTCTACCACTCCTGGATTACAAGGGGATCCCAATAAGCCTTCGGGTAAATAAATTCTGACTTTAGCTCTTCGTAGCTCTCCGCACTACTCCGAACTTATTCGCTACCCCACAATCATCTAAAGTATTGTAGTAATTAGTTTAGAACTGTCTAGAAAACTTTTCATGCAGATTTATTGCACATCTACAACTTCACTTTTGCAGGGTTTGTCCTGACAAGTAAAGCAGCCATTCGTTCCATTAGGCACTACAAGTATTAGTTTCTCTGGTTCCTGCCACTATAAATAAGCTTTTGGGATGGTTTACCGAATACTTTACCAGGAGAGCTCCATCGCGTGTCTAAATTCTTCATTCTACAGGCCCATCCTCACAAGCTCAAGGGTATAATGATTTCAGACAGATCCTATTAGATTGATTTATGTCTAAATTCAGAGGGGAAATTGAGCTTGGTGTTGAATAATTTCGAGTTTTGGCTTGAGTCTCGAAAAGTCTGAATTCTAAAAGCGCATGTTGATCACCATCTGATGATCTTTTATCTACATGAACAGAGTGTCTAATACTCCGGACTACAATCCAACAATGAAGATTATTCAATCCCCAAACCAATTACAACATTTGAATCATCTCAGATATTAAATTTGATTAGATTACTGTACTTTTCTCAAATTTCTAATTGCTTTCAGACATCCGAACCCTTATATTGTTGAATTATAGTCCGGAATATTGAATACCCTACATATGAATCTCAGATACTCGGTTCTATGCAACAATTGGCCAATACTAGCGTAGATATGGCTGCCATCTACTGTAGAAGATTCAATCGAATCAAGATTTTGCTTGTTAGCTATCTTGTCTCACTCAATATCAATATATAATCGCTGGTTCGCGCACTTTAATTCTATCGTTTCTGCCTGTCGAAATGGCTCTAAACTAAACATGTCTCCACCGACATCAGAAGATCTTGATCTACTCTTTAGACTTGAAAGCTTCATTTAAACTTTTGGCATGAGGCTTGGCTTGGGAGGACTATTAATTAGCTATTTTTGCTGCTGGTAAAGTAGGTCTTTCGGTTGGTTCAAAAAGTAGTCAAGTACCTGGATAGTTATCCATGGTTGCATGGTATAACGAGGCCTATTACAATTGACATTACATGATAATGTAGTACGATCTGTGCGGCGTCGTATACTAATATCTCGCTTTTTTCTTTACGTCAACTAGACAGTTTCCCGAGCTTCATTTGAAAGATCAGCGCGGTCAACTTTATTCATATACACATCAAGGCATTATTCGCTACCTAAAATTCAACGATATCCCAGCCTGAGGTAGACTATCCTAACGAACCTATAGTAAGATACCACCAAGCAAGACAAAAGCACAAGCCAAAATGCACAGCTATGAGCACCCTAGGACGCCCATGCCTTCCCATGAACGAGAAGAACAGAAAGGCTATCACTATTCAAACACGTGTTCTCGATAAAGCAATAGGCGAGAGAGACCAATTCGCGATTCTGGTGGACAGCTGAAATCAAAGCTACTGCTCTGTTATCACACGCAATCATTACCCTTAGAACCATGGCTCTGGGACCCCTACCGCTGGTGAGACTTGCAGAGAGAATTGGGCTCGATGAAGTTGTGGCGAATTGAACGGAAAATAAAATTGATGCTATTTCTGTTGCTACCACGAGAACCTTTAGGATCTTGAGTGGCTTTCAAAAGTATCTTGATCGAAGGAATAATTGCTCAGTTAGGAAAAAGAATGAAACGGGAGCAAAATTGTAATTGCTCAACACTTTCCGGAACCAAGTTACTTGTCTTTATTTCTGTATAGCTCGCTCAACATTCCATCACGCTGCAACGAGAGACCTGCTCGATTCTATACTCGCGCGTGCAATGAGTTTGACGAGTGTGTTCCGTGAATCATAAGATACTATGTAAAACATTGGTTGGACAAGTCTTAGTGCCATTTCTGCTAGAAAGGGCTACTGGGCAAAAACACCTAAAGGCATTAATCATCAGGTCGTTTTGCAAGCGTGTCTTGGATCAATGATGTGAGGAAATAACGACAACAACAAGATGTAGCAATGCAGATTCACCGACAGATATAGGAATACTTTCAATGAAAATAGCCCTAATGATTGATTTTGCAGGACAACTTATATGACTAACTATCACACAATATCGAGAACTTGAAAGCCGTTCATAGTCTACCTGGTGCATTATACTCGAAAGGCTAATTCCACGACAATCAGCATCATTTTTTGAGATCCCTGAGCAATAACTGCAACTCCTCTCAAGCTTTCAGACACGTTTTCATTTGAGCCCACTTGAGACGAGTCTCGGGAGTTCAGCATACTTGTCTCGAACTCCCATCTCCCTTGCTGTGCCTATTTAAAATTTTCTCTCTCGTCCATATCCTATTTCCATTACAACAACCTTTATTTTATCCCCTCCCCCTTTTCCAATATCTAACCCCACTCACCACCCGAACACCTCCACATCCAGGTACGTCAATTCCATCCGTCAACGCGTCTTCCCTCTCGCCGTGTAACTATCACGGCAACCTACATCCCATTCAGATCACCTCCCCACAAAACTTCGGCAACAACCGACCGCAAAAGCACACCGAGATGAATATAGACAAACAGGCATTAAAGAACCCCGATCCAGAACACCCTAAAACCCACATCTCCACCCACTGCGCATTCCCGTTCCCAAAACAAAGTCTTCTCTCCTCGTGAAAGGAGGTGATTAACATCACACACTTGTGCTACACCGATCTATCAATCATGAGCCCTCATTCTCGCATAACTTATCTCCAACGCTGTACTTCTTTCAACAACACAAAAAGATACACGAGTCTACCCCCCCCCCCCCCCCCCCCAAAAAGACTCCATCCCCGATTTCCCGAACGCCGAGCTCCTCCAGATGTAGCCCCATATCATCGCATTACATCGAAATTTAACACTCTGTCGTTGGTACAAAAGCTACAGAATCCTCACTCGACATGACGTTGAACCAAAACATCACATTACATCCCATCGCCATCGAAATGTGTTCCGCCCACGGCCCTATCACCAAATTCTCCTGCCAATGCACTAATCCCGTGTCCCCATTACAAAATGCGAGATCCACCCACCCGCCTCACTATCTATCTAGTACGGCGATCCCGACGCCGTGTCCAACAGTAATTTGATGTTTTATTTACATCCAAACCTGTTCTATGTAACCACGTGTGACGGAAGCACCCCACGCCTCCACTTCCCCTCCAAAAATCAAGGTTGAAGCTTTCCAATAAGGTTTAGCTTAAAGTTGCCGTCGGGCTCTGTGTTGTTATCGTCAAAATGTTCAAGAGGAGGAAAGTCAATGCTTGACGTTCCGTACAACATACAATGATGTACATTGCATACATACAAAATGGCGTAATTCGTGTGTACCCCCACCGCGTTGTACTCGCGTCCGTACCTCCGGCGAAGAATATTACTTACGCTCGCCCGCCCAAAGCGAGGGAAGAATTGAGTAGTTTCCGTTGCAAAACACTAAGCGCTATCGTACATTGACCGATGATCTGGTGATCAATTATTCTATGTAGTATGTCTGCTTTGTAACGCGAGCTATGTCTTTCCAGTCCTATCTATGCCGCCCTGTTTCTCCTCGTCCCATTTATCCCGGCAGTATGGACAACTTCAATCTGAAAGTAAACGTTCCCATCCGTTTACCCCGCAAGACATGTACAGCGCCCGCGCCCCTCGCCTCGCCCCGCAATTTGCACCATTTAGTCTTTACATGCATATACCAGGTTACCTTGATGCATATCTTCACATTTACAACACGCGGAGACGGTAGATAAACCGGAGCGTTGTGTTGATAATTTTTTTTTTGGCGCCATTATGGCATGATGATGATATGATATAATAAGACCACAGTGCGTCTGTGCCTTGTATCTTGTACCTTTCGCTCCCCTATCTTCATCACGCAGACCGAAATCCCCTGGTCGCAGACAAGTACCTGCAGCCAAACTCCGCTAAAAGTGGTGCCAACGTGCACGACCTCTGTTGGTGGGGGAAAATATCATAGCATCATATCACATCATACCATACCATACCATCATGTAATATAGGGCTTTCTATCCTTCGGTGTCACTACGATATGGAAAGGGTATGGAAATCTACCTTTCTCCATCTTCAGGATGTGAAACTGCTGCCTAGAAGTACCGATTTATCGATGGCAAATGAGGCGGTAATACAACAGGAGTTACATTGCCTCTTTCAGAAGCACAACGACTTTTATTGGAGTCGGCCTGAATCTCGATGAAAATCTATCCAATTCGGTCGAAAGGCCCCAGTAAACCCAATCAGGTTCTCGTCGAAGGTTTCATCAAAGATATCTTCATAGCCGTCTCATTTAGATGCCGGCGAGACCGACGAGATATTTTGTGCGCCGAGATCTCATTGTACGTGCGGCTGAGTGAAACCATACGCACAGCACCTTGGAGAAGACTTTCTTGATATCAGCGAGTGTGAGACAGTGAATCTACCGGTCAATCAGAGATAGCCACATTTCAAGGCGTACATTCCCGATCTGCTTTAGAAACATATGTCAGCCTGAAGATGTGCGTGAGTCGTCTATTTGGAAAGCCTTGGAAAGATCGACAAACTATATTCCATCTTGAGCACTCCTTTAATGGCTAGCTTCATCGCGATACACGATTCTTCTTCATCAGATTGGTAGGTGCAGTAGCGAACCTCGTCTGATGCGTGACTTGGCCATCATACTTCTCTTGAGATAATCTATTATGGGGCGTAGCCGACTTGCAGCTAGTTGAGAAAGGTGATTCGGGCGGTCACATTGCGAAATTGGAATACACTTAAAGAATGCGATCTATCAGATGCATCATGTAGCGAAATGAAAAAGAGCACCCACATTTTCATGTGCAGAACAGACTGGCGAAAGAATCATTGGAGGAATGTTTCTTTAGTGAGGATGAGGGGTAGCCCATAACTCTCGTAGAGAGTGTCGTTAATAGCCTGTCATACATTAAACCCATTCCCACAATAAATGATTATCTGCACTTTGCTGGAGAATTTTCTTGGATTACAGATAAATGTCAAATTCGGTGGAGATGAAAACAAAATCGGCTCGGGAAGCTACGTCTTTCTGCATGCTCATGCAGTAGAAACTATTTCGGGAATATAACCATGTCGTTCTCTGCGTGGAGATTTATGTTATTAGGAAATAGTTATCCGCGATATCCGCCAGTTATCCTAATTGGACTACCAATAATGATGCTTTGGTGCGAGAATCGAGCAAGTAAGCAGAAATCTATCATTTATCTTGATTCTCCTCTCTTCACCCGTTAGACAATAAATATGACCTAGAGAAGGATTTCTGTAGAGGCATAATTATCAACAAGGATCTGCCAAGATATGCAACTAAGCAATCCAATCTCGGTGCTGGTTTAATTGTAATATACATGTGTGTATGCCTTCACGGTGTGCAGAAATACACTGCAGTACGACAGTCATGATGTATTTGATATAAAAGTGATGTAACTACGCCAGATGCCATGGCGATGATGACGGTATGTAGGGTCTTTAGCATTCCATTTGTTCTGCGTATAAACACACTTGCGTTGAAATATAGATGAAATGGAATGCGCGTACCCATTGTATGACAATAGCTAATATGTTGCGTGAAGTTATACATCCATCATGTGATTTTGGTCGTATACTTCAACACGAGGATGTGCAGGTACCTTGCTTCTCCTTCTCCTTGTCTTTAACCTTGCTGCTTTCCAGTACTGGCAGATATGCTGTAACACCCCTGATGTAACTGGACCACATGCGCCCCTGTTATTCCAACATTGGGGGCCAAAGGATGAACTTTTCCGAGATTGTGAGCCCTAAGCCTGGTCTTCTGGTAGACCAGCACCCTTTCGAGGTTGTACTGGTCCGGTAGATGCTTTTGCTTTTGCAATTGGAACGATATAAAATTATATGAGAGCCGTGGATCGTGATGTGACTCTAGGTACATCGTACACTCACAAATCGAATTAACGCTGTGGGTAAAGAAATGTTATCCCCAGATATTTCTCCGTACATTCCAAGGTTCCTACAATGTTCTAGGATTGTCAGTGGGGGTGGGTGGGATTGGTATCCAATTTGTCCGATGAAACGAAAATGAGATGATGATGCTTGCTTGCTTGCGTATGAGAGGGACGAGGGGTTATTTAGCGTACAGCGGCATCAAACGGTAAAGTACCACTGTAGATCAAACCAAACATGTGGGCGCAGGGTTTCAATATCCAAGGGTTTTCATCGAAAAAGCTTCCAGAAAGATCTGAGAAGCTATTCTCGTTTGTCTTCTTACCAAAATCGACTTGAAGACTTCAGTGTTCCCGAGTTAATTGAGTAGTATGATTGGTCGATTCTATGGAACTGGCCACGCAATAGAAACAATATATCAAGTCCCCCAAGTGAGTACTTTGTAATATCCAGAGAGTTGGTTCGTAACATACAGATTAATTAATTAGATGGGATGGATCTTGGTTGATAAGAAATTAAATCATGATCATGGATCAGGGAATTCCGACTAGACGCAACCTCATAGTCACCAAAGCCGGTATTCTTGTTTGAAAGGCTACAGGTACCTACCTACCCGTCTGTTCGCATCAGTATTCGGACAGGTTGTTAGCAGTATGGAAAGATGATGCCATGCTTCCTGGTGCCTTGTCGCTGGAGCGAAAAACGTAAGATGTTGGAAAGCGTATGCGAGGTTGAGTAGCTCGAAAGGGTCTTACGATACGTGTTGACGCAATGATGTATGAGATACAACCGGCTCAGCTTTTCTTCCCAGGGGCTGAATACGTCTTGAGACTCTACTCGTACTGAAGTGATCGTAATCCTGCTTAATTCCCTGAGGGATCTTCCTAGATACAACGGAAACTTTAGAGTTCCCGCTCGTAAGGAGAAAGAAAGCTTGTACATGCAGAGGGGATTTGCCTCGGATCAGTTGATTAATTGTACTGTACACAGACAATGTGCTCGTCCTATCCCGTAACTGCATCGAATGATGCCAAGTAAGTAGCATAAAGTTACAGTGTCGTAGGTATTGATATTACATATGTAGACGCAGGAGGGTTGTTTTGGCGTTACATTGCTGAATGCCGTTTTCTTGGCCGCATATCTCGCCGTTTGGAGATTCAATAAGTAACCGAACTGGCAGGTATATCCCTAAAATAAGATAGAGTACACGTCGCCGAGCGTATATTGAGTCGTATCAAATACGCCGAATGCCACGGATTGGAGCAATGTCATATCCATTCAAGGACAATAACAATCCATCGTGAGTAAGCAAGAATATCACTCCTAGATACCCACAGACGGTCCAGGCAGCAGGACTTGCCGTTTGAACGCTTTTTTAATTGCTCATCGGCGTGATTATGTGGGATGTCGACATTGCATGACAAAAGATTAAGCAGGTCTGTAGGTTCCTTGGTAATGTAACTATCGGGCAATCTTTCTCTAAGTACAGGAAGGTACGAATGTACATATCGTATGAATCTTCATTTGTAACAGTCACGAGCTCATTGTTGTCTCCACAACTGGGGATACTCGAACAAATCGGTCCCGTATACCGTATTTTGTTTTACGTTCTCTCGTGTCTCGTCGCCCCTTTCGCACAAATCCACGGAGAGAAAGAAAAGAAAAAAGAAGTCATTATAAACGCTGAAGGTGGACTGAAACTGGGCTTACGTTGTACCAAGATGGGACCAAAACCGGTGTGGGAAGGGCCTTGCATATTAAATTTTCCCCGAGAATCCAATGGAAGGAAAAAAGAAAAGTTGAAGAGAAGGGAATTGCTTCTAAAGTTCGATATCGTTCTGAATGTGGCTACGAAGTCGTACCCCGGATACGAGATTGAGACAACATATTTTTCATTTGTTTTCAATCTAATAAGCCTTGACGAATAAGCATTCGAGGCTTTCTTTCTCAACTAGATTCACCCAAGATGTTCACAGAGATTTTCCTTACTCTTACCAAAACATCACATCTCAATTCGACAGCACATTTTGAGTCTTTCAAAGAGATTATCTCATGCTCGCAAACCCCACTCGCATTGGTGCATTGCAGAGTTAACGCTTCTGCGGAGTACATGAAGCTGATCCTTCCTTGTCGTATAATTCATGGTATAAACTCACTTGCATCGTGTAATGAATGATTGTGGAATATTAAGGCTATGCCCTATGGATGGTCAATTTCTGAATTTAAACGCACTCCCGACCCAGAGTTTATTCCATAATAAGGAAAGTATGCTATAGTGGAGTGATTGGATTTATGCCAATAATTAGAGAGCGAAGGAAAACCGAGCACAACCGTGCCATGGTCACTCCCCTTGGTTCAACAGTTTCTATCTGACTTCCTACTTTTTCTTCCGCTGTCTTCCTGTGGCGGGAGCAAGGATTTACTCTTCGCATTTGGACCCCGTACCTGATTTACTCAACCTTCCAAGGCTTCAACCCTAACATGCCAACCCTCTTGGTTTTGGAGGTTTCTTACAAATCCAGTCTTAGCTATCCCGTGGCTGGTACGCTGGATCCGAATCCCGAGCATCCTCCCTTCAGCAGACCAGAAGCTATTTACCAACTAATAAGCTAGGACGGAAGGAAATAATAAAAAGGACGATCACGAATCTCTGTTGTGGGGCGTACGACCTGCTTGATGATGAAACAATCTCGTTGCCCTTGCCAAGAGCTGAGGGCTGAGGAAGAATTTTCCATCAGGGCTTCCAAACATCGTAGCATGATCTCCAAATGCCAAAACAACGCCCGCCAGATCCTGCCACGCAGCCCGACTTGGCTGCACTGCACAGAGCGCGACTTGTACCGAGGTACGTCAAAGCTACAGATCCATCTTCGTCCGTTGTTTTTAATCTGCGTGCATGTTGACTGGCTGATGAGTTAACGCTAACTCACTTGACACTATTATTCATGATACCAAGACCAAGCTACCAATATTGTATGTCATCTTAGGCGGTTAGGTCTTCAAATGTTTCATTGACTTAGAATCAATACGGAAATCACTAGAATGTCTATAATCTAGGAATAGAGGAAGTCATGCTCCGGACGGGACACGAAATCAGCGGAACTATTTAATCGTTTAAAAATAACCGTTCTTTAGTAATCCAATTTACCTTCTTGTCGGGTAGGATCATCCAAGCAACGCTAGGGCCGAGGATTAGTTCAAGATTAATCTAAAAGGTCTAATCAGCAAAAGACGATTTCTGCCAAACCAAGAATCCGATAAAAAGTAACCGAATTTAATGCTTCGATCCTTCTCCCCTGATTACAAGGGAGCCCCATGATTAACATGGGTTGTACCTTCAATAGGGAGGTCTCACCTCGTAATCTGTCGAAGCAATCCAAGCCATCGACTAATCAACAACCTGGATGAATAGACAAGGCGAAACATCAATGCTGCTTTTTGGCTTACATGCCATGAAAAGTACATACAATGCAGGGGATATAGCACATGGGGCAAGCATCAGCTTTCTTTTGATGGGCGGGATTTGCTATTGCTATTGGTTGAGTGCTGAAGGAGGTTTGAGCCTTATGACGGAAGGTTCCTGACTTCCTTGAACGGTTATGCTGATCGGTACGACGGCGTTTTTTTTGTGGCTGAAATGGGATAGGGAATGGTTGTCCTTGCGCTTGGATAGAATGATAGGCAGGCTCAGACAGGCTTAAACGTGAATTGAATGGGCGTGCAAGAAATAACGACGTGCAAACGCGATGTTTACATGATTTGTTCAAAGAGGCATGTAATATGATAGATGGTATATTGGGACAACATCGAAGAGGAGTCATATCTCCCGAGGCCTGAGTGAACATAACCGTTCTCAGGTAGGATTGAGATTGAGGGGCAAGAGGGGAAACTCTGTTTTGATTACTCTATCGAGGTTATCGATGCTGCATCTTCGCTCCACTGTGGTACAGGATGTGATGTGAAGGGTAGAAGCTCCGTACATGCAGGATGGATTCAAGCGTAAATATGCTTCTCGTCCCAAGTGACCTCAAGGTGATCCATGGTGAATGCGCTCAAATACTGACATTTACCTATAAGCTCCAGCTCCGAAGTCCGACTGCGATTGAAAATGGCACTTATACACGAGAACGTTTCTCATGGTCCATTATCGCTCTTCTTATCTCCATATAATCTTGCTGCATGAACTCACTCTCTAGTTCCCTTGTATCTATATCTAACCTTATCCGTCTTTCCAAGCGCGTCATGTTATACCCAGGTAGCCTGTAAGTAATAACCCTGCTTGCAAGCTGGGAAGCTGGGTTACGGAGACTACCTACTGGGAAAGGGTAGCTAGCAGACAAGCACGGAAAAAATAATATGTGATGGTTCATGGATATCCATAGGTAGAGTACAAGATTGAGATATCTATCTATCTGTATCTTCCGAATGTAATCCAACCGTCGCAGACAACCACATTTTCCCCGAGCGAAACATTGAGGATCGCATCATTCCGACGCCAAGCATGAGGACGAAGGAACGAGAGAGCGAGCACTGTGCCGATTAGGTATTTGCGAAGACCCGAGAAGGGCTGGGAGATGGGTCTGTTCTAATTACATTTGGTCTCGTGAGTGTTTCTTCTGCAGAACAAGTCAGTCGAACTGGTGGTCGGTATCCTGTATGCACAGATTGAAAATTATTTTTCGAAGCGGTGAAGGATGGGGGTTGCAAACATATGGACGATTAGGCACAAGAGGGGGGGAGAAAATGTTGCTTGCTCGAGGTGCGCGAGGGGTAATGATTTATAATTGGACCCCGTTGATATCACCGTGTGTGCCAACGAAGCAACATGCTTCGTCGGTTCTGATTTCATGATTGATTCCCAATGACAACATTATATGCCATGGTCCTACTTTTTCTACCTAACCTGACTGTCACCGTCCCCCTGTTGATGAATGTGACCACGAGACCTACTTTATCACAGGTGAACAGCGTCTAAATTTCTTACGGCGCGATACTGGAATACTTTCGGGGGGATTCGGTTGGTTGTTGATGGAATGGGATAAGATGGGATTGATGAAATGGAGAATGCTGTGGCAGTGAAATAACGACAGGGTACGAGAGGTTATGGTCTGCAGCGAGTAGCATCATTTGCAGTATTTCCTGTGCATATTGCACTGCACTGCACTACACTGCACTGCGCAATTGACTGTGTAAATGATGAGATGATGAGACCGCCTGTTGGTCTTCCTCCTGGTCCCTTGTTCTTGGGAACTTGAGGGGAGGGGGAATTTGCTGGGCTTCAGATCCCAATCGCGATGTATGCACGAAAGAGTTGTGTACGAATGATGTTGAGTTTGGCTTTTGCTTCTCTTCAATTTGCTCACGATATACGGTGCTCCAGAAATAGGATGGAATATTATTATTGTATAGCCCCAGAATCCTAATGCTGATTGACGTCTATGTTTCCATATGAAGCAATTGATCCTGGATTCTGACCTGCTTTGACTTTGACATACGTGCTGAGATTACTCACGAGAGTTCATCACATCTACTTCGAGTACAGTCAAATACATGTTGCTCTCCTCGTGCCATCTTGCCTTGAATTTGTAACCTGCTCCTTCGGCCATCCCAAACGAAGTCAGGATAAACCTATCACTTGTGCCCAGCTATCTCCTTCTACCATACCTCCTTTCCACCCTTCAATTTACGAATCGCATCTATTCCGAACAAATCATCGAGAGCCTTGTTCCTTGTATCTCAACACGCCAGCTGCGATCGGCATACGCTCCAGCGGACAAGACGGCAGGAAGCTCAAAGTCAAATCAAACATCAAGGCTTAACCTTTGGTTTTCGTATATCGACCTATCTCCCCCTTACCAATCACATCTTTCAAACAAAGACAAATTATATAGCGATTTACCACACTCCACTTATCACATGCACACGGCGTAGTCAACAAGCAACTAAAGCAGTCAGAAGTTAAAAGCCACCCTCTCGTCTCGTCTCGTCTCATCTCATCTCATCTCGCCTCGTGTCGCAAAGGGTCCTCGATCCATCGATGAGAAGGAAGGGAAGGCCTAGCGATAGAAGGATTGGAAGACGGGAAGAAAGAGGGAAGCCAAAGAAAGATACTTTTTGGAAACGGATGATTGTGAAGATCCTCAAGTAAAACATCTGGAAAATAGCTCTCCACTTCAATCATTTGATATCCGTAGAAAAGCGAAACCATTTTGGCGCATTGGCTGCTGACTGTACGACGTTTGAAAGTTCCAAGCACCAGAAGCTACCTTTGCGGCAATTGATGGGATATCACGGATTTACCGATTCATACATTTAATCTATCTCTCCACCAAATACATTCCCAGAGCGAGCAAGCAAGAGTCGATACAATAACTCCACTAGACGCACCAGACACTACCTATTCATTATTGATTGATGGACTGACTGCGACATATCATATTGGACCCAAAACTTGCGATATTACTTATTTCGGCACCGGCCTCCACATATCGCCTGGACACTTTTCCAGATTACGGAGCACCGAGCAATTCTTATTATAAATTTGTTTTAAGGCCAGCGAGCAGCAAGCAGCACAGCACGACAAGCAAAACCTGGAACTGTCAATCCAATCCCTGATGATCAATCGAGTCCCAAAGTTAAAAGTATCAAGGTCTGTCTGGTAGCGTCCTTCATTACTACATTAGTGTTCAGAGCATCGACCCTAAGCAGCCTTAAATCAGCCTGACCATTCGGATTCATTGGCATCTCTCTCTCTCTATACCTTAGCTAGGTACCTAAGCTGTCTATCTATCATAGCGGGAGGGTATCACTACAGCTACGTGTAGGTATACACGCATTACATACACTACATACACTACAGACACTTCCTACACTTCATATTACAGCGTGAGAGCGTACACTTGACGCTACACTTGACGCTACACTTGAT